TCTCTCTCTCTCTCTCTCTCTCTCTCTCTCTCTCTCTCTCTCTCTCTCTCTCTCTCTCTCTCTCTCTCTCTCTCTCTCTCTCTCTCCCCCTACCCGCTCGTGTTTTTCCCTTTCTTCCTTCTCCATTGCCTCCCTTCTCCTTTGCCTCCCTTCCGCCTGACCGATTCCATCTTTCAACTTGCGCCCTCCATCCGCTCTCCCGATCTTCCCCCCACCAATCCGATTTTCACCCTCCTCTTCTCTCCTCCTCCTGTGCCTGTCGCCTCTCTCTTTCCGCCGTCCTCGCCCCTTTCTCTCCTCCGTTGGGATGCTCTTCCAGCTCCTAGTCCTTCAACACTCGACATGGCCCCTGCGGATCTTGTATGTCCTTTCCTCTCTTCCTTTGTCTGTCCCTCTTTCTCTCTTCATTCCCCTCGCCATCACCTGCATATCCACATTTACCCTATCCCTCTCGTGATCGAGGCCCTTCGTCATTGCCCTGCTCTCTCCTTTCCTCACCTGTTCACTGCCCCGCGCTCTGAGATGTGCCTTGCAATCTCTTCTTCCCCACCTTGTCCGGATCCCAATACACGACCTGCCTTCCTTTTTTTTTTTTTTTTTTTCTTGCCTCCCTACCCTGTTGCCTTGGCCTTCTTTCGCCTGCACTTCACCGGTTTCTGGCATTTCGACCTTCTCCTCCTCTCCATCCATATCCTGGTCGGCACCCTCTGCGTCCTCTGTCGTCGCAATCCCATCCTGACCGACCAAATCCCAACCCCTCTCATCCTCCTGATCCCGCATACTCACCATCCCCCTTCGTCCCTCTCCTGCTACGCCAGCTTCTCAAGATAACCGATCGATGGCGACCTTCTCCTGACTCCGTGACCAGGCACTTGACCTTCCCCTACCGTAGTGTCCTTCTCCACCTCCCTCTTCACATGAACGGCATGATCCCCACCTACTCCTTCCGATAGCGGCTGTGCAAAAATGTTGTCCCACTTGTTGCAACATGGCACCCCCACAAAAAATGGAGTTGCAGCCCTAACGTCAATGAAGATAGGAGGAAAGCAGGGAGGGAGGGAGGGAGGGAGGGAAGGGGGGAGAGAGAGGGGGTGCACTTTGGGCACGTCGGATGAACCCACCTATTTGGTTTTGGGGCCGAGCGTGAACGGAACCCTCCACCTCTTCGCTCACCACAGCGCCAAGAGGGAAGATGCACTTCGCCACGCCGCGGGGACTCGCCTATTTCCTTTCTGGGTCGAGTGTGAGTGGAAGTCTCCGCATCTTATCCAGCGGCCTAGCTCAGTTGGTAAGGCACGCAAGTGGCATTCAGGAGGTCTTGGGCTCCATCCCCATGTGCCTCATGTACCTTCCTGCCGCAAGCTTGGTGCCCGTCGCCTAGAGATATGTCGTTGGTCCCCCCTATGCTTGCAGGGGTCCCCTATATTTAGCCTTAGGAGTAGGTAGGTAGTGAAAGGCGAAATAATTTGAGAAAATAATATAGTGTAGTGTAGTTTTTAACACGAAAGAAAGACGAAAATAGAGTATAGTCTCAGGGCATACTGAGGGCATACTCACAGTAGGCCTTCAACATAACAAAATCGCAAAATGAAAGGCCCAGATCGAGTACGTGTAACGAGAGAGCTCTATCTAGCCGCTCATTCTGCTATTTTGAAATTTTCGAG